ATTCATCCTCTGGCCTGTCCACCTACACCTGAACACCTCTTTCTGTGTAACTGAAATCATGGGGCCACCTTCTCATCTTGCTGTTTGCCACAAGTGATGCACTGTGAATCTTTGTGTGTCAGAATTCACATAGATGTTCTGTCAGATTTTTTTTTTTTGAGACAGCTTTTCATGTATGGCCTCAAATTCACTGTGTAGCTGAGGATGACCTTGAACTCCTGATCCTCCTGCTTCCACCTCCTGAGTGCTGGGATTACAGGTGTGTACCACCTTGCCCAGCTCTTATAGGATGTTCTTCTGTTGGCATGCTCTTTCCCTTACTCCTCCGCTTACTGGGACCCTCTGACCACCTCTAGTTTTTGCCTGTAAGCGGTATGCAGGGAAGATCCTTGCATGTGTGGCCTTGAGCATTTGCTCAGAAACTACGTTAGGGTCAATTTTCCAGGGCAGGTTTATTAGACCTAAAGCACGTGAAGACTTTGGATACCAAGTTCCAAGTTGCTCTTTAGAAAGATTGTCCTAGGTGTGCATGTCCCTACAGATCCTGCATCCTTCACCCTGCATCCTTGCCGGCACTGGCCAGTGTGATAGATGAACGAAGTTACCTTACTACTAATCATGACAGTTCTTTTAATAACTGGGAAGCCGGGCATGCTTCCACATGCTCCTCGGTCGTTTTGTTTCTCCTTTAGCAGTGGATTCTTGTCCTTTGCACATTTCTCTATTTTCTTTACAAAAATTATTTATACAAATGATATGAATGTGCATATTTGTGAAGCAGGCCAAATGTAAAGCAGAGCTTCCCCTGCCTGTCTCATTTGCCCTTCTTCAAATAATTACGTTTTGATACTTGAGGTAGATGCTTTCTTATTTTCAATGCCTCTGTGTGTGTGTGTGTGTGTGTGTGTGTGTGTGTGTGTATGTGTGTTTGTGTTTGGTTTTATTTATTTATTTGTTTGTTTGTTTGTTTGTTTGTTTGTTTTTTGAGACAGGATCTCCTTATAGCCAGGGCTGTCCTGGAACTCATTGTGTAGACCAGGCTGGCCTTGAACTCACAGAGATCTGACCGCCTCTGCTTCCCAAGTGCTGGGATTAAAGTCATGCGTCACCACACCCTGCATTATTTTTAATTTTTTATATAAAGGTGGGATCATATTTAGTGTGGTGTCCTCTGGTTTGATTTTTCTCCACAGCTTAATGCACGTGGGAGTGTCTTACCTAAGCAGTATAAGCCCATTTCTTCCTCTTTGAATCCTTCTGTTTTTTAAAAAAAAAATTTATTATTTTTTTATGTGTATGTATGTATTGCTTGCATGTAGCTAAGTGCATACCTGTCGTGCAATGCCTGTGGAGGACATAAGAGGCTGTTGGGTCCCCTGGAACTAGAGTTACGGACAGTTGTTAGCTGCCACGTGGGTGCTGAGATTCAAACCCAGGTCTTCTGCAAGAACAACCAGTGTTCTTAACCACTGAGACATCTCTCCAGCCACAAATCCTTGTGTTTTTAAACAGCTCTATTGAGATAATTCACACAGCATACGCTTACTGTTGTAAAGCATATAATTTAGTGCTTTTAGTATATCCACAGAGGTGTGCAGCCATCCATGAGAGAACATTTCCTCCATTTTAGAGAGAAACAGCATCTTTGACCTGTCATTCTCTAGTCCTCCAGCCCCCTCAGCCCTAAACAGCCACTCATCTACTTTCTTTCTCTGCAGATATGTATATTTGGGACATTCCACATATTAATAAGTCAAATCATCTGTCCGTGACCTTTCATGGTTGTCTTTTCCACTTACTGTGATGTTTTCAAGGTTCATCTCTATGGTAGCCTGTATCAGTACATCTGTCCTTTTTATGGATGGATACTATTCCACATAGCTGTTTGTCACATTTTGTTTCCCCACTCTCCAGTTGGTGGCCATTTGGGTTGCTTTTATCTTTTGGCAAGTGTGAAAAATGCTGCTGTGAACTTTTGTGTACGTTTTTGAGTACCTGTTTTCAATTCTTTGGAAATATACACAGGGCTAGAATTTCTAGGTCAGGTGACATCTCTGTTTGTTTAATTTATTTTGAGACAGGGTCTCACAATGTAGCCTTGGCTGGCCTAGAACTCACTATGTAGACCAGGCTGGTCTCAATCTCACAGAGATTACCTGCCTCTGCTTCCCAAGTGCTGGGATTAAAGGCATGTGCTATCATGTCCAGCTGTATGTTTAATTTTTTTGAGGCATTCCAAAATTATTTCCAGTGTCTGTGCCATTTTACATTCTACCAGCAGTGCACGAGGGATCCAGTATCTTCACATCCTTGTATTCTTTTCTGTTCTTAAAAGGTTAATTAACTGAGAAATTCATACAATGCATTTTGATCATAATCATCCCCACTCCTCTCCTAACTCCTCCCAGATCCACTCTACCTCCCTACCCTCCCCCTTTTTTATTGCAGCTATGCGAGCAATGTATATGGAGTCTGTCTCATTGTGGTTTTGATTTGTTTCCTGATGGCTAATGATACCGAGTGTCTCTCATGCCTGTTGTCCATCTGTGTCCCTTCTTGGGTGGAGAAGTCTGTTTAGACATTTTTTGTGTGTGTGTATATGTGGTGTGTGTGCATGTGTATATGTGTGTTCACATGTGTACACATGCCTGTGGAGGTCCAAGACTGATGTTGGATGTCTTTCTTGATTATGCTCCACCTTATATATTGAGGCAGGGTCTCTCGCTGAACTCGGAACTCACTGATTTGGTTAGTCTGGCTGGCTGGCTTGCTCTAGCTTGCTCCAGAGATTCCCTGTCTCTGCCTCTTGTGCCCCTGGGATTATAGGGTTCTGGGGATCTGAACTCTGGCCCTCAAACTTGCACAATAGATGCTTTATCTGCTGAGCCATCTCACCAGCCCACATTTGCCTTTTAAAATTAATTTTTAATTTTAATTTGTTTTTGAGACAGGGTCACCTGTAGCCCCAGTTAGCTTGGAACTCACTTTGTAGACCAGCCTGGACTTGATCTCACAGAGATCCACCTGCTTCTGCCTTCTGAGTGCTGGGATTAAAGGTGTACGCCACTGTACCTGCTCATTTGACTTTTAAAAATGGAGCTATTTGTCTTTTTTTTTAAATTACTGGGTTGTTATACTTCTTTGTATGTTCTGTGTACAATGCCTTATCAGATGCATGGTTTGTAAACATCTTCTTCTGGTCTGTGGGTTATATTTTCACTTTCTTCACAGTGATTATGAGGAAGTAGTATTAATTCTTCTTTAAATATTTAGTAGAATTTACGGTTGATGACATCTGAGCCTGGACCTTTTATGGGTAGTTTTAAAATCACTGACTTGATCTCTTTATTTGTTATGATTTTCTTAGACTTTGTTTCTTTATAAGGCAGTTTTCATAATTGGTTTCCTGTGACTCTGTCCATTTCATGTAAGTTATCTAATTTTATTGGCATACCATTGTTAACAGTATTTGCATTTTATTCTGTAAATGTAGCTTAATATAACCAATTTTTTTCTACATTAGTGTTGAAATTGTTTTCATTTTTCACTGTTACAGTCAATCCTGTGATGAACATTTTATGAGTATTTGGCTTTGTGTACATGTGCAAGAGTGTTAGAATATTGATTGCTAGGCATGTAGCTGCTGTCTCTGGAGTCTGCATTTAAAATGTTGATGACTTCTGTCCTCTTGTCCCCATCTTTATTGATCTGTGTAAGCTCTTTATGTCTGGCAGTCCCTGTCTCCTGGAGACAAGTTGTAAGAATACTGTATGGCTGGTGCCTTTGTTCCTAGCATGAGTGGGAAGTCCAGATTTGGGGTCTGGATGTTTGGTGGCTGCTCTGGTCATGAGTGGTGGGTGTGGTTGCCCCAGGCCTACCCCTATACATTCATATGCAGGGTTTTAGACCCTGGGTCCTGGGTTGCAGTAGGTCAGAGGAGTCTCTCCAGTTAACCCCCCCCCCACCAGGGCCTCCCCAGGGTGGTTCCCTTCTGAAGGATTCTAAAGGCCCTGGGGCCACAGGCTGTTGGATTTCACTGATGTCCGGAGAGCCTTGGGTGGCTCTGCCTGTGTGTGAAGAAGTGACAAGGTCTTGCTTGCTCCTCCTCATCACTTCTGCCCTTCTGTGCTCATCTGGGGACCATGTGTTCTGGGCACCCACTAACTCACAGATGCCAGGGGTCAGGTGTGGGCAGTGGTATTGGTGTAAGAAAGGAGCTGTTTTCATGAGGTGGGAAGTGGGGGACTTCTGAGGGACTCCTGTGTGCGCTTAGCAGTCTTGTCTGATGCCTTCTTCCTTTTGTTTTTTTTTTTCCTGAGTTTTACAAAGGTGACATAAAAGTAGGTTAAAGATCTGGACAGGTACTGTTTGAACATTTTAAAATAATCCATCCTGGTACCTGGATTAAAAACCATTGAGTAGGTTTTGAGCTTTGACTCACCAGCTATAGGGTCCCAAAACTGCCTCAGGGACTGAGGACAAGAGAGAGCCACATTGGACCCAGGCCTAGGCTGCCCAGGCTGGAGGAGCTCTGTATTTACTGACTCAGTCAGGTTCTGAGTGAGATTTTATAGGAGTCAGAAAAGGCCACAGTGTCTTAGATGGCAAAAAACAATGGGTATTGGCCATTTTGGCCCCACTCTTAGCTGGGAACATTCTAGTCATACATCCTTCAGAGGGCCGAGTTTCCCCAGGCATTTTGGAGCACTTGGCTTTTCCCTAGGGACCCCAACACCCACTTCTGTTAAGGGCTGCACTCTCCAGGGCGGTTGCCAGTCTGGACCTGCCTTTTTTTCTTCTTTGATTGTATGGGGTATTCTGGCCTTCCAGGCCTGCAGAGGCAAAATCACATTATCTTTTCTCTTGACCCAAATGGATCTTGTCCCTGGGGAAGGAAGACTGGGGCTCAGCTTCCAGAGAGTTGGTGAATGGGAGGCTTTCTCAGCAACCTTTCCTGATGACACTCTCGCTTCTCTCATACCCTCTTTATGTCTTTTCAGTCGGCGGAATTCTTCGAGATGCTGGAGAAAATGCAGGTGAGCACCTCAAGCGGGGGAAGTAGCCTGGCCTCAGGTGTGGGTGCTGTAGGCATGCGGGGCCTGGAGCTGTCGTGGTGGGAGGGGCCTCTCAGCCTGGACAACTGAAGCTACTTTGTTGTTGAGTGACACAGAGCTCTTGGGTAGATTGCTGCCTTGAGGCAGGGAGGACCAGTTCATTATGCCATTAACCTTGGGGACGTGGGAATCAAGAGCTGTTGATCCCAGAATGAGTTGAAAAGAAAACTGAAAAAGCAAGTCCTGTATAAAGGGGAGTTATGTGGAGTTTGGGAGGCAGAGCCACAGATGGGATGCAGACCTGAGTTCAAATCCTCCATCTGCCACCTACTAGCACAACCTTCTTACCACTTCCAAGTCATCAAAAAGGAATAAGAATAAAAATACCCGCTGGCACAGTGTTGGGGATGAAATGAGATCCTGGATATAAACACTTGGAGGGCACCACATAAAAGTCAGTGTTCAAAGTGAATCTTAGGGCCCTTTGTAATCACAGTCCCTGCCCACAGATCCAAATCTGTGGGGTGAAGCACTGTGGATGGAAAACACTGGGGAGAAATGGCATCTGTATTGAATGTGTACAGGCTTTTTCTTTGTCAGTCTTCCCCAGAGAAGACAGCAAAGCTCTCTACACAGCATTTGCATCCTGTTAGGCATTCTAAGTAACCCAGAAATGACTTGAAGGACATGGGAGGATGTGTGTAGGTTCTGTGTAGACCCTGTGCCCTTGTGTATGAGGGAACTGAGAGGCCAGGGATATTTGTATCTGTGTGGTCCTGGAACTAGTGTTCTCCACCCCAGGTCAGGGCTCACAGCTAAGAACTTTCCTATTGTCTGTACTGGCATAAGCCAAGGTCTAGGTTTCATTGGTGGAAGTGTGATATGCAGCTGATCATGGTATATACATTTCAAGCACTTCTCTATGCTCATAGATGGAGGGTGCAATCTTGTCCTCATGAGGCTTTCAGAACTATATATTTCACTGCTCTCATGCCCATATTACAGGTGAGGAAACTGAGGCCCCAAGCTATTACATAAAGCTCACAGGTGCATGTGTTGTAAGTACTGTGGGGCCAGAGCCCTGAGAGGTGTGTATCTACTTTAGAGGAGGAAGACTGTGGTTTTTTTTTTTCTTTTTATACTTTTATTCATGGAGGAAGATATGAAATAAGAGTCTGGAAGCTGTGGGAGGAGGGGCAGAGAAAGAGCCCAGGGTGGTCCTGTGATGCAGGGGATGCTGGCTGCCAGGTTTCCCTGAGGGGGGAGGAGAGGGTATATTGAAGAGAGGGCCATTGTTAGTGGTTGTGCCATTACTGTGAGGAAATTATTTCTCTTCTGCACAGTTGTGGATTACAAACTCATTTTATATGCATTTATGAAACTCATAATCTAGTTGCGGAGACAGGCTATCCTGTGCCTGCGCTGCCAAGTAGCTGGAGACAGGGTGTCATTAAGTGCTCAGCTGTAGAGCAAAGCTGGGAATTTCCCCTTCAGCCAATAAGATCACGGTTGGCTGGGAAGCTGATGGGGGGATTGGTGGCTCATCCTGCCTTCTCCCTGGGTGCACTGGGCACTGCCCCAGAGGACCGTTTCCAGTAGCTATATATGGAGAGTGGATAGAGATGGAGTGCTTGATATGGCTGGATTCTGCCCTGGGGAGTGTGCTCTAGCCCTCCTTATCTTGCAGTTGTGGAAACTGAGTCTTAGAGCAATTAGGTGATTGGATTACTCTGCTAGAGTCTGGGAATTTGAAGCCAGTGAGGCTTTGGGGCACATGCTTTGGATTTTTCCAGCTTGGGTTCATGTCTAAGCCTGCTGTCTTCTAGTTGAGGAACCTTGGTCAAGTCATTTTCCTTCTCTGAACCTCTGTTTCTTCATGGGAGTAGGAAGAAGGGGACATAGTGGTAGTACTTGCTGCAAAGGATAAGTCTGGAGGAGGGAGGGCCTGGTGTGGCTGGGGCTCTGTGGTAGGGGAGGGAGTGGAGTGGCCATGAGGCGGGGGGAGGAGGGGGTTGCTTTCCTGCCCTAGAGACTGTTCCCAGACAGGGATGACTAATGCAGAACAAACAAAACAAACTCCTGACATCATTCCCCACCCACCCAGTGTGCCAACCTGGATAGGGTCTCCAGGGCCACCTAGGAGGTTTTCTGCCAGTGGGTGAGAGGCACCTGTCAGTGGGAGGGGCCTTCCCACGCCCTCCTGAACAGCGCTGAGGGATGATTTGGTCCAGAAGTCCAGAGAAGCAGCTTTTAAACCCACCCAGCTAGCAGGAACCCTGCTGTCCAGGGAGTGTGGCGTGGGGGTCACACATTAGCTTCAAATGCAAGCCCTTGTCACTCACTAGCTGTGTGACCTGGGGCCTCAGTTTCCTCACTGGTGACAAGGTGCAATGAGCTGCCAAGGAAACCCCAGGGGCACCTTCTGGAAGGTTAGAGCCCTGCATGTTAAGGTGGTAGCCAGGCAGGGGCAGCCTCTGGCTCTCTAGAGGGGACCTGCATGTAGATGGCCCGCTGGCTCATTCTCACACCTGTTGCAATCAGTCTTGGGAACTCTGTGTTTCCTTCCCTCTTGTACAACCCAGTCAAATCAGAACCCAGCTAGGACTTCTGGACAAGGTGCCTATGCTGGATAGTGTCAGTTGTCAACTTGACACACCTGGGAGGAGAGAGCCTTAGTTAGGGAATTTCCTCTATTGGATTGGCCTGTGGGCATGTCTGTGAGGCATTTTCTTGATTGTTGAGTGGAGGGCCCAACCCACTGTGAGTGTTGCCACCCTTGGGCAGGTGGTCCTAGGTTGTATAAGAAAGCAAGCTGAGCACAGGCCAGAGGAGTAAGCCAGTAAGCAGTGTTCTTCTGTGGTCTCTGCTTCAGTTTCTGCCTCCAGGTTACTACCATGAATTTCAGCCCTGATGCAATAAACCCTTTCCTCCCCAAGTTGGTTTTGGTCAGTGTTTTTTTTTTTTTTTTCACTGATAGAAAGCTGACTAGAATAGTGCTGCTCCTGGAAGCCCATTTCCAATACCTGCAGTCAAAGAAAGCCCTTCCATCCAATTCCAGTCCTTGAATCTGGAAGAGGAGGGTGATGGGGTTGAGGTCTACCCTCATTCCACAGCAGCAGCTAGGGAGGCTTCACGGGTGACAAACAGGGAGCTCCCAGCAGAATGAGGATCAGGACCAGACCTCCTGCCTGTCATCCACAGGCCCTTCCACCAGGAAAAAAGGTGGTGATGGAAGGCAGGAGGACCAGTGTGATGGTTTTGACACTTGCAGATGTGGGCCTTCATCTTTCCCACTTACCTGCTGGCCCCATGACCTCAGGAAGGTATTTTAAGCTCTGGGATGATAGTACGACCCATGTATAGTAATGCTGCCATTTACTGTATAACAGTCAGTGTTCCAAGTGCATAATCCACTTTCTGCCTTTAACCTTCATTATGGTGGAAGGCATTCCCACTTTACAGGTGAGAACAAGAGTCACAGAGAGTTACCTGTGATTTACCCCAGGCCATCAGGCTAATAAGTGGTAGTGTTGGGATTTGAGCCCAGGTGGTCTGGCTCAAGTCTGTAATCTTAACCAACCACTCTGCTGCCTCATCTGGGGTTGCTGTGGGGACTGACAGCTGCCTGTCAGGGGTCCGGAGGCTCTTCTGATGGGCCTCTCTTTAGTGACCTGTGCTCTCTTCCTTGTTTCCACAGGGGATCAAGCTTGAAGAGCAGAGGCCAGGACCTCAGAAGAACAAGGTGGGATAGGCAGTTCAGGTCCAGTGGCCAGATGGACCCAGTGAGGGGCCAGTGTAGGAGGAGGGCAGGAGGAACAGCAAGCATGTTGACCTCTTCTCTCATGGCCATCTAACTCTGCTCTTCACCAGGAGACAATTAAGTGACTCTTACTAGACTTGTGCTTGAAGGACAGCAAAGGGACCCTAGCTCAGTACCTTAAGTCTGCTTCTGAGCAGGCTGGGGTGGAGGACTCAGGTGGGGCCCAAGGAGTGGAGGCCTGGATTGGCTCCTTCCCACCTTCTCTGTGTGTGCACCTGCACAGTATTGAGAGCTGTTAGACTCTGGACTCCGGTGGGCCTCCAGCTCTCAGCTTCAGTTCTATTTCTAAGGCCAAGACAAGGCCCAAGGTACAGCTCATCACTTAAAGGTGAGCTGTTGCCTGGAGATGGCTGTCAGAAGAGACTTGGGTCCTCCCGCCCCTACACCTCCTTTTTTTTTTTTTTTTTTTTTTTTTTTTTTTTTTTTTTTAATACAGAGGACACATTTATTTTA